AAATTATCCATTTTACGTAAAGAGCAAAAAGTCGAATTTGAATTATAAATTCAAGCCACTGCTTTAATGTTTGCTTCAAGTCCACGTTGTTTTGTTTTTCAACACAGAGATGACTACTATTTGGTATTCTTCACAGACACATATGCCTGGACTTAGAGTTAATGAATAGCTTCCCTGCTGATTTTTTTGGGTTTAATTTCATTCCGTTTAACTTAGCTCTCAACACTGTATTTATTAGAGATCAATAATCGCATTATTGTGTGTTAACAGATGCCTCTAACACTTAAACAATTCTCTCAAGGATTTGGGAAACCATCGTGGAAGCCATTTAATATTCGTTATTAATATTAGCTGGCTAAACGATGGTAGTTTTTAATTTGCATATAGAACGACCCTATTCTCTTACCAGGACAAATACTATACTAATTAGGGTCAACTATCTGCTGTAACAAACAATCCCCACATCTCAGTAGCTTAAGAATCTAAAAATTCGATTTTTCACTCACGTTTTCTCACCATTAGGGTTGGTAGGGGGCTTCTGCTCCACATGGCCCCTCAGATGCAGCCTGCTTTTCTCCTATGGCTCCATTTTCCAGGTACTAGAATTCTCTCCGTCCTACCCATGAATGGAGAAAGAGTGGAGAATACTGGGTGGGTGGGAGGCTTTTTGATGGGCCCTTCCAATTCTCACTCCCACCACGTCCCACTAGCCAGCACCCAGTGGCCAGACCACACCTAACTGCAAGGGAGGCTGGGAAGTAGTAGAGCTACGTGCCCAGGAAAAGGAGCATCACTTAGCCACCAAATAAAATTGAGTCTCTGTCACAAATACCAAAAGAAACTGCTGGGCAAGAAAAAAATAATAGGGAATTCAACTTAAAAAGTTTTTTTTTAATTAATGATGATATAACTGAAAATCATGACCTTTTATTTGTAGTAGCAAATCTACTGAGAGTAAGAGGTGTTCTAAATTCAAGTCAGCTTTTCACAAGTCACTCACAAGCAGCTAAGGTCAAAATTTTTTTATTATGGCAAAATATCTCATAACATAAAATTTAACATCTTAACTGTCTTTAAGTGTACAGTTCAACCACGTTAAGTACACTCCCACTATTGGGCAACTGTCACCTCTATCCACCTCCACAAATTAAAACCCCACACCCATTGAACACTTGACTTCTCATCTCCCCTCCTCCCAGCCTCTGGGAAACCTCTATGAATGTGACCATTTTAGAAATGCACCTCATATAAGTGAAAGCATACAGTGTTTGGCCTTCTGCAGCTGGCTTATTTCACTTAGCAGAATGCCTTCAAAGTCCATCCACATTGTAGCATGGGATCAAAATCCCCCATGAGGCCAAATAACACGCCGTTGTATGCGTTGTATGCATGTACCGCGTTTTGTTTCTCCATTCATCCACCAATGAACCCTTGGACTGTTGCCACCTTTTCTGACTACTGTGAATCATGCTGTTCTGAACATGGGTGTTCAAGGCCCTACTTTCCCTTTTTTGGATACACACCCAGAAGTGGAGTTGCCAGATCATTTGGTAATGCGGTGTTTAATTTTTTGAGGGACTGCTCTACTCTTTAACCACAGTAGCTGTTAAAGTCATAACAGCTCCAGAGACCAACTTGTAATTGGCTTCTACAAAAGGTTGTAATGACTCATTTGTAAAGGTACAGTCCCCATTAAAAAGTTTCCTGAATTGGAGGATTGTGTGTTTTCAATTTAGCTCTTTAAGAACTAGAAAAGTTTTAATTTCATTTTTCCTTTGCCTCTAAGTGAAGTGATAAAATACAGTGAGTAATTAGTTGTACTCTCTGGGAGGTGTAAAGAATGGGAATTTGCTAGGAAAACGTGTGTTGGAAGCTCTGTCCTAGCCCTCTTGTGACACTGGTATCTAATAGATTTCCTGGAAATGATGGGACTAGTTTATCACACTAACACTAAAAATTAAACCAAGAAAATCTCTGCGGCACTGTCAATTTTGACTTCCAATTAACAATTAAAACCTGACAGCCACACCATTCACCAACTGATATCGTTGGCTGTGCTTTGTTTCTGCGGCTCATCTGATAATTATCTGGGTGACTTCATATTCTGACCTCTTCGGATTTTTTTCCCATTGATTATTTTTGTGTAAATATTTAAAACAACTAACTAGAGTGATGAAAACCTAGTGCTTTCCAGAAGTTTCAGCCAAACAGCGAGGGGTTTTGGATGTTTGGTTTTGATTTCATTCTCTCTGCCAATTTAGGGTTTCTGAGTACAAGTACTGTCGAAATTCAAAGATACTATAAAAATGAAAAGCAAGCAGGTACTGTGGAAATGAGAGCACATTTGAACTGAACCCTTCTCTGAGAGATTGATTTGGAAACCTTTGGTTCCTTAATAATATGATTTTTAACGTGGCTATTTCATCACTGGTGTACGGCAGTACATTGATATGCGAGGTTTCAAAAAAGATCTCCAAGTAAAGCTTTTCCAGGACAAAAGGCTGAAAAATGAAGTTGGGCCCAAGGTTTGATATCAGATTATCATTTTTGATGGCAGCACATCATAAAAGACCCCTTCTTTTTTTTATAAATTTATTTTTTATTGTTGTTCAATTTGCCAATATATAGAATAACACCCAGTGCTCATCCCATCAAGTGCCCACCTCAGTGCCCGCCACCCAGTCACCCCCACCCCCCGCCCACCTCCCTTTCCTCCACCCCTAGTTCATTTCCCAGAGTTAGGAGTCTCTCATGTTCTGTAAAAGACCCCTTCTATCCATTCTTGTCTGCGTGTCCTCAGGGCCGGCAGATTTGGGGGGTCAGCATTGGAGAATGTTTAATTATTTTTCAATAAGAGAGCGTTTGGTGCTTAACTCACAACAGTGCTTACATCACTTATGATGTGAAATGGACTTATACAGTATATACTCAAATACTAGTTGCCACCAACGCTTCTCACTGCTATACACTGGATTTGCATGGCTTTTGCTCCTCTTGTTTGAACACTTGCGTTCACAGGACTTTGATAACATTCCTGATATAAGTCACCTACATATTATTTTGAAGTTCCTTTGAAGGTATTTCTTGGGAGAAGAAATAAAATCTGGACTAGTTTCTCTGTAACACTGTCTTTTAAGGAGTAAAGCCACAGATGTAAGAGCCTGCCTGTGAAATCCATCACAGACCTTGCACTCTGCATGCAGTGTGAGCAGTAGAGAGTTTAGCAACTTCCATAAAGAAAAGCTGACGTCATTTTTAAACACGGATCTTGTGTATAATTTCACATCTGGCAGCAAGGACTAGTAAAACGCGTAGCATTATAAATACTGGACTTTGAGGCTTCTTCGCTTCAACAACCACCGTCAGGTACACATTTATATGGCTTCATGGTGGCAGCATGGACAAAGTGGTAGCCAGCTCTGAAATCACTCTAGAAGCTTCCCTCGATCCATCTATTCATTATACAATCTCAGAATGAGTCCCAGTCATTCCTAGTGATATTCAACTCTCTCAGTACTCATCCCTCCAGAGTTCTTAACCTCTACATTTATTCTCCTCTCTCGCACTCTTGGGCCCTATTTTTATCCGGTTCTCTGTTCTTAGGATCTGAGCAGCTGCCATCCTCAAGGACCATTGTCATCATTCAGTTTTGTCTCTGCCTATCCTTCACCAACCGACTTCTCATAGTTTTATCCTCCTTAAAAAATGAACACACACACACAACTTCATTTCCTTTTCTTTTTCTGACTTAAATATATCGGTTAATTATCTGGCCTCCTATCAAACTCAGAAGGTATGGTGTACTGACACCGACCAAAGTGAGTTCTCGTCCTGGCCTGGCACAAGATACTTCTCTCTTGGGATTTGTTTTCTCATCTGTAAGGAGAGGAGACAATGATCCTACCACATGTAGGTTGTTCTAAAAGTTAAGCATGGGGCAGCCCCGGTGGCTCAGCAGTTTAGCGCCTGCCTTCAACCCGGGGCCTGATCCTGGAGACTGGGGATCGAGTCCCACATCAGGCTCCCTGCACGGAGCCTGCTTCTCTCTCTGCCTCTCTTTCTCTCTCTCTCTCTCTCTGTGTGTCTCTCATGAATAAATAAATAAAAATCTTTAAAAATAAAAAAGTTAAGCAGGATAGCATATACACAGCACCTCTAGGCCCAAAATTGGCCTCAGGAAACATTAATTATTATTATTATTATTATTATTATTAAATGTTGACCTTCCTTTCAAATGAAAACTGGAGATTCTTCCCAGCAATCATCCTCTTTTTCCCAGGTTTCAGGATAAAATTAATTTAATACAGTGTAATGCTTAAAGGTACTACTGTGTAACATGATGAGGGTTCCTAGGGCTGAGTTCTGTGGACAGCTGCACTCACTTCCCCTGAGTCAGCTGCCACCAGAGGTGCTAAGGCCACACGGACTTTGCAGAGATGAGACACCTTAGACCCCAGCAGAAGGCAGTGGGGAAATAAACCCAAAGTTGCTTTGTATTCAGAATGATGATCCAAATCCTGTTCGAGACACTAAATTGAGAGCTCACCCCGATTAGTTATCCTTGGAGGAAATTAAAATCGCTACTAAAGCCTCCACGTTCCAGGCTTTTCTATAAGACCTGAGATCTGGGGAAATGCAGCGGTTTCCTTGCCCCCTTGGGGGATCTGGCCCCTAATCCTGTCGACTCAGATGAACTAGAGAGAGAGACGCGGAACCTCTCCCGCCAGGGTATTTGGGGGTACAATAGACTCCTAACGCCGACCGGAGCCTGCAGCTAGTAGCTCGTTGCCCTCCCCGAGGGCTGGACAGGCCCGAGCCTGACTGAGCGCGGACTTGGCCTGCAGGCCCTGGAGGGGGGCGGGGGGCGGGGTCGCCCCCCGCTGGGCGTGGCCTAGGGCAGAAGGGGCGTGGCCGGGGCCGCAGGACGTGACCTAGGGCTGGGTGGGGCGTGGCCGAACTTGGCCCCGGGACCCGGGCGGGGATAGGCCCGGGGCGAAGGGGGCGGGGAGCGGGGAGGCCGGGGCCCCGCCGGCTGGCCGTGCCGGGGTCCCGGGGAGAAGGCGGCGCGCGGCCGGAGGAGGCGAGGTGCGCGGGGCCGAGCGGGCGGGAGCCGAGGGCGGGGCGGGGCGGGGCGGGGAGCCGCTGCGGCCGGGGCCGTCAGTCCCTGCGGGGAGCCCCCACCCCCCGCCAGCGGCGCCCCCGGGGAGGGGGCCGCCCGCGCCTTTGCGAGCTGCGCGCTCCCCGGGGCGCAGGGGTTGCTGCAGGGCCGGGGCGGGAGGCGGCGGAGGCCCGGACAGAGGGGCTCGGGGGCCCGCGGCCGCTGCGCTGGGCCGGGGGCGCCTCTTCCGCGACGTCCACCTTCCATCTCCTTTCAGAAGCCTTGAAGTCGTGCCTGCGCGCCTGGGGCCTCCGCGTCGCCCGAGCTCGCCGTGCCAGGGTCGCTCCACCTGAAGCTCCCCAAGCACACTCGGGACGCGAGCGGGGCTGGGACACCTTCCGAGGGGCCTGGGGGCAGGGCCGCCTCCGCCGGGGGCGCATCCACGGGGACAGCGTCCTCCCGGTGACACGTGTCCGTGAGTCCTGAAGTCCCGCCGCAGGGAGGAAGCGCACAGGCGCTCGCTCCTGCCCTGCAGGATCGTCCTTTCACTGCCCAATAGAACAAACGTCGGTGAGCACAGAGCCCTCGGACTTGCACCGACTTGGCCCGGTTACGTTTTCATTTTGCATAGACAGCGGGGGTGTACAGCGGTTACCCTAAAATCCCGGTGTGATTCCGGAAGTAACTCACCGCCCTTAACAAGAAATCTCAGTGCACCCAGCAAAGAAAAGGAGACCAGACAACTTGCTGTTGATAGCAAGGTAGCGACTTAATTTTAAAGAGGATACTAAGAACACAAAATTCACAGCGTGCTACTTTATGAATTTATGTTTTTCATTGATGGAGGCTACATGTGGCCCGGTCGTTATGAAAGTTACTAAGAGATCTGTAATATAGATTTGAGGCATAAAATAGCAAAATGCATTTTATTTCCATTCCTGGATCTTAGAATTATAATAGGAATAGGAATGCCCAAACCTAAACATATATATATATATATATGCATATATGCAATATGTATGCAATATATATATATATATATATATATATATATATATATAGCCAGTTAGTAAAAGCGAATCGCCAGGGGTCTTCTTTGAGTTGCCCAAACCTATATATACATATTTTTTTGCATATATACATATGCTATACACACACATATATATGTGTGTATATATATACACAAATAAACATATACAATACAAATAAAAACATATATATATATATATATATATATATATATATATATATATATATATATTTGCCAGTTAGTAAAAGCAAATTGCCAGGGGTCTTCTTTGAGTTCTGTGCACCTGAATACTCTGCACTGCTCTGTGAGGTATTCTGGGGTTACAGAAGAGGAAAGAAAGGCACAGATGGGTAAGCCACACTACTGGAAAGCTTAGAAAGAAAAGTCCATATCTTTCTAACTCCAAAATCTGTGCTCCTACCACTTAGCCACTCCATACTTTTGTTCTTCACGAGTCTGCCTTTTATGCAACAGGAACTGCACGTACACTGGTAGAAGGGGCAGGAAGCCAGGTTGCTGGCTTAAAGAACTCTGAGGACTCATGAGTGGAACTTAAGGCTATTTCTGATTCCAGCTCTGCAACTTTGGGTGAATTACTTATCTTTGCTGGGCACATAAAGGTCATTGATCTCTAGGTCTCTATACTCGATCGAAAAGCCTATAGATTTGTGAAGACAAGATTCTGCTTTTACCATTTAATGATATATGTGGTCACACTTGGTGTTGAAATTACAAGGTGGTCATGAAAGGTTGGTTTATTCATTCAATAAATGTGTATGGTATAGCTGGACGTGCCCCAGAGCTGCTCTAATACAGAGCCGGACAGGCAAGGATTCTAGCCTCTAGGAGTCTATATTTTGGTTGGAGGCAGAGAAGCCTGAGGAAACAAAGAAGGAATGAGCAAACAAATTAATTCACCGACAGCTACAAATTGTAAACAGAGGGCTGCGATAAAGGAAAATAGAGCAGGGGGCGGGAGTTGGGAGGACTCTGCATGTGGTGCTGAAAACAGTCCTCATGAAGACCTTTTGATTTAGAAGAGTGAAAAGGACCTGGCGATGTTCATTGCTTGCAGTGGGACCTGCTGAGGCGAAGCAGCCATGAAACAACTTGGCATGTTCTAGAAAGTGCCAGAACGTTGTTGTGACTGGAGCTTGGGTGATTGGTTCAAGATGAAGTTGGAAAGACAGGGCGGCACTAGGTCACGCAGGGCTTTGTGCCGCCTGGTAAGTGCTCTCAAGGCTTGACTGGAGCCTAAGTTCTGCTTCTTAGCTTCTTCATAAGGCTGTTGACAGATTTTATGTTGGCCAGTCTGTTGGCCACAGACTTCAGTTCCTTACCATATGGACTTCTCCATAGGGCTCCTCATGATGTACCTTCCCCCAGGGCAAATGTTCCGAGAGAGAAAGAGAACCCGAGGTAGAAGCCATCTTTTTTTTTTTTTTTTTTTTTTAACTGATCTCAGAAGTAGCATCCTGTTGATTCTGCTGTATGCTGTTGATTACACAGACCAACCCTGGTCCTGTGTGTGTGTGTGTGTGTGTGTGTGTGTGTGTGTGTACAACACAGGGGTGTGAATACCAGGAAGGATGGAATTGTTGGGTGCCATTGTGGCATCTGCCTACCACAAGGTCTATGAGATGTCCAACGGGAAATGTCATATAGGCTGGTGGGTACATTATACCATAGCTCATGGGAGGGATCTGGGCTACAGATAATTATTAGGGAGTCATTAATCATGATATATGAAGCTGTTGGAAGTGTATAAAAGGACTAGGGAGAGAATATAGGTAGGGAAGAGGAACCTCGAACCTGTGTCCACGAGCCCAATGCTAAGAGATCAGTGGAGCCAACAAAGGAGTTTGGCCAGTGAGGCAGGAGAACCAGTACAGCATGCATTGTGGGGGTGGGTGATGACCTAATGACTTAATTGAATGACAGGTTTCACTGGACAAGTTCCCCCTTCCCCCATGAAGGGTACAACATACCTCGAATATGGGGCTGAAGTGAAAAGGATTTCTGAAAAAAATGCAATTTAATACAATTTGAAACGTGAATAGTTAAACTTTAACCCAGATAGAAGCAGAGAAAAGGAGAACACATATATGGGATAGAACAGAGTTTTGAGGAACCTGTCTAGAACCTTAGTGCCCTCTCGGTCTGGGATTATAGTTGGTAGAGAGCCCCTGTGCAAGGATTTTAGAGGTTGCTCTAGGAATTAAACTTGAAGACAAAATAATGAACTATATAACAGAAGGGCTACTGGCCTTGGCAAATGCCCATCCTTACTTCCATATACACTTTACAGCATTACTATATGAGAAATCTTTCTCCTCAAATGTCTTAAATAGCCCAGTAAGCCCTACAGTAACAATGGGGAAAATTAATTCCTGATTAAGTGGTGTCCTGCTCAGGAGCCCTATGAACTTCACTGTTAATAGAAGGACAACCTAAGATGGTTAAATATATTTTTCACGCACCAAATATTCTTTAGGGTGTATTTTCAGGAGTCCAAGTTTTTCTAAGAAGGCTTTCATTAAAGAAAAAAAAAAAAGCAAAAAAGCTTTTCATTCATAGACATCTCCCTCCCTTAAAAAAAAAAAAACAAATAAGGGAGGGAAGAAGAAGAAAAATAAAACATCTGCTCCCACCTGGCCACCTGTCCTAAAGCAGCTGTGGTTCTGAGTGCCCCTTCATGGAAACAGTGTCTGCCCAAATACACGTGCTTCTCTGCTCTGCATGGGAGTCGTGAGCCTCATCCACTTCTCTGTCCCCTTCCAGCGAGGTATGGCCATATGACTGACTTGCTTTGGCCAATGCAATGTAAATAGAGTGACGTGTCACTTCCAGGTAGATGCTTTAAGAGCCATTGAGAGGGGGCACCTGGGTGGCTCAGTGGTTGAGTGTCTGCCATGGGCTCAGGGCGTGATCCTGGGGTCCTGGGATCAAGTCCCATATCGGGCTCACTGCGGGGAGCCTGCTTCTCCCTCTGCCTGTGTCTCTATCTCTCTCTGTGTGTCTCTCATGAATAAATTAATTAAATATTAAAAAAAAAAGAGCCAGCGAGAGGTCTGTCATCTGTCACACTTTCTTTCCCCCTGCCACCATGACCATGAATTTTCTAGATAGAGGCTGTTCTGTCTGCTTGGATCAGGACATGAGGACAGAGAGCAGAGCCCCCCATCGACCTGTATTAGATATGTCATGAGAGCTAGAAATAAACGTTTGTGTTTAGACCCCGAGATGTGGGGATTTGTTGTTACCACAGCATAACCTAGTCTATCCTGACTAATGTACTCAGTAACTGCTGAGCCACATGCATCCAGGGATTACTGATTTCCAGCTTACCAGACACATGGAGGCCTAGGAGGAAAGGTGCCGTAGAAGGCTTGCTGCTGGGACTAACGCTCCCCTTACTCTTGGGGAGACAGCAGGGGTACTTGTTTCCATGATGCACAACTCAGCCTCATGATTTTCATCAAAAGGGACAAAATGGCATTTAGGTGTTTAATTACACCCTGTAAGGGCAGCCATTGTTAAAGTGTAAAAAACAGAAAGGCTCAATGCGTGGAGCGATAGTGATTTTTATTTTGAAAAACACTCTGTGTGTGTGTGTGTGTGTGTGTGTATTTTTTAATTATCAGCTCACTTCCAAGTTTTCCAATACAAAGGACATGGGTTCATGGGTTCAGTGTTAAGAGATGATTCTTCCCAAATGGAATTATCCACAGATGCATTTCAGAAATGATCTTGTCACCAAAGGACATTTGAAATGCATCATCCATACGCATTTTTTAAAGCAGCTTCGATGATTTTAGATATGGTTTGCTGGCTATCTTATTTTTGAACTAAGGGCATCAGACCTAGGTTTTGCTCTCAATGTCCCGGAGGCAACGTGTTCACACTTTTACTGAGTTAAACAGAAGCGAAGCAGGGAACATTTTGTTTTGGGCAGAGCTGTGCTGCATTCTTAGGGATGTTGGCTATAAATCCATTCTCCCTAGAGGTTAACAATCAAAGTTCTCCCCCTCTCTTACTCAGACGAGTGATATGATGATGATAAATTGCTTGGACATGACTGCCCCAAGCACTAGCGTGATGAATTATGTTGTTGAGGGCATGACCACAGATTCTCCATTGTCAGTCTGCAATATTGAATATTGGCAGGATTCATAAACAGCCTTCTGCCAATTTTGGTCACCGCTTTGCATATTAAATTCTCTGTTTTCACAGGTCATGGTTCTTAGTTCTTAATCAACTCTGTCTCTCCCTGAATTCACTTAACTAATCAACCTTTTGTTTTTTTCTGTTTCCTAACACACGAAATGGATGGGGTGTTCTCACAGTTGTGTTCAGTAAACATTGAGACTTTCTTCACAGAAAGTGTTAAAATAGTAATTATTAGTCCTTTTCACTAAATCCAGAGTAATAACAGCTTATCTTGCAGTGGCTTAATTGGGTAATTATTTAGTGTTTGAAAAGCACTTGAAGAGAATATTGGTAAATATTGTTGTGAATGTAATGCTCCTTTGTGTAATTCCAAGTCCACTGCAACCAAATACTCCTTTGCATTACTGTGTACCAACAATGATTTCTTAATATTGCTTACTATTTTCAAAATTACATAGGTACTGATTTTTGAATTTTTTTTTTGAGAGAGAAAGCTGGGGGAGGAACAGAGAGAGAGACAGAGAGAGAGAATCTTAAGTAGGCTCCACACCCAATGAAGAG